TTAGGATGGACTCGGAAGAGTATTTCAATTCAAGGCAAAGTGTGTGTAGGTTCTACCCTTTCCTCCTATGTTGTGTTTTTTACTCGTAGGTAATTTCACGTTCCTTCAAGTATTTGGGCCTCTCTTTTCTCTAAATTTAACTCCTTGGGATCTTTCGAACTCTATCCTTCATCTCCTCAACTCTTAGACTTCTTAGCGATCAGATTCATCAAACACTACATGAGTAGTCTCCTCCACTACTAATGTCACTCTTATTAAACACCCTAAAGGATTTCCCCCACACTTGAATATCCTAAGAACACTCCTTCATCAAGATTTTGAGGCTCAAATTTTTTAAGTGAGACTTCCATTTTAGATGAAAAAACCTACAACAAAGACGATGGAGGTGGGAAAAGGTTAGGTGTCCACCCTTATTGGATTCATAGGTTTGTCTAATCTAGTTTAGCTCTAATATTCACCCTATTTCAACACATAACAAGCTGGTTTAACACTTTTTAACCCAAAAGTACTTTAAATGAATAATCAATAAGATGGCTATAGTGGCCTCACAAGGTTCTATTTGTTCCTTTTTAACTACCTTGTTTGTTGAGGGGTCTTAGGAGCTGAGAAGTTGTGACTAATCCCTTTATTCTCACAAAGTTTTCAAATCTCTCATTTTCAACTCTTCACCATGGTCACTTTGGATGGTCAGATATCACAAACCCTAGCTTTTTTTTGAATCCAAGTGAAAAAGATCTAAACTCATCAAAAGACTCACTCTTAGTTGATAGAAATTTTTAATCTAAGTGAACCTCGAATAGATCTTCAACAATTCCAAATCCATAGACTTTTCCTCCTAAGCTAGCAGTGCTATGGTCAAAACAAATCCCCATTGAAGGTCTTCTAAAGGTCTAGAGATGCTAATGTTCTTATGAATGGAAGAGGAGTTGAACTTGACTTCCCTAGTTGGCAAGGCATCACATAGTGTCTTTGGTGACCTTTAAGCTTGGGGACACACTAGCTATGTCTTTTTGGTCACCTCCTAAGGGATTTTACGACTGGCATGACATAACCTTCTGTGCCACAATCATAACTCTATTCAGCGACAGTTTTTAAGCAAAATAAATAGCACTTCAATGTTATTTAATCAAGCATGTTAATAGTTGTTAATCTGCTTTCCTACAAAACAATAGTTTGTTATTCAGTAAATAATGCATGTATTTGCCAAAAAAATTATGATGAAACCCTATCGCAAAGTTGTACTGATGCGAGGCAGGTTGTGTTTTCAATCCATCTACAAGCAAATATTTTCAATCAAAAGGTTCTTGAGTTTCTGATTATACCTGCGCCCATCCCTTTCTAGTGTGTTGTCTCCAGAGTGACCTTGCCTCCAGCCTAGCCTGAAATGAATTCGGTTGGCAACTCAGTCATGTGTCTTTGTGAGCATCTGCATATACATCTCTATGATATCTTTTGTGAGGTACACCTAAAATCATCAACTTTTGATTTAGGAACCAAAAAAGTTTCGTCCCTTCTTATGAAAAGAAGAATGCCAATGATGTGTTTATGCCGTGAATCATACAATTTGAGTCTTCCACACCCAATGTTACTACAGTGAATAGTGCTAAGATGAGGTGAAACGTGTCCTATCATGCCACATAAAAAATATCTAACACCAAGAAGATGGTTTACTAATCCATTTGGTTATAGTGTCTCTTCCTGATTTTAAGAACTTTGGCTTTAAATCATGTGTGGGTGTAGTTCTATTTTCATATTCATCAATATAGTTTTAAAATCTTTTTAAGTGATATAGGGGATACCTTCAATGAATCATGCTTATAACCAACTCAAAATGCTTTTTTATTTAACTCATCAAACTCATCAAGTAATTGATGAGTTTGATTGCTATAATTATAGATGATTTAAGTAAAAGATTTCATGCTCTTTTTGCAAATTTAAGTTTCAATTTCAGCTCTCAGGTCAAACATCAGCAAAAGATACAATCTTTGAGGATAATGAGAGGTCTTATATACAAAAGTTTTAAATATTGCTCTTAATTGTTAATAAACCGACATAGATAAATTCACGATGCGATCATGGATCTCCTGTACGATCATTACAAATTCAGTCATCACCAGGATGATCTCGGAGAGTAGGACTATTAAAGGACTATGTCTGATCGTCTAGAAGGAGAGGACATCGTCCTGTACTATTAGTTCAAATCATGAGATCATTAGAATATCATCTTGATTGCATTCTGGATGATGGAAAAGTAAATTGATCATCCAGGATGATTTTGGATTGTCATCCCAGAAATTAGTCAAAACATACACATGTCCAGAACATCATTCTGCGTCATCTAGGAGGAACTAAGGTTGTTTAACTATGTCCCGTACGATCTTACGGATTTCCGGATGATAGATTGAGCCATCAAACCTTAATTGATTTCCTTAAATTACCCAAACTAATTTAGCATAATTATAATGCTCATTCAGGACCTATGTCCAAAAATAAACATGCTTAAAAAGATTATGGCGGTGATTCTTATCGATTTGAGCTTATCATCCTAGATGATACTAATTCGTTTGGGATGATTTGCTTATATTGCAAATGCTTAACCAAGATGCCTAATTAGGGTTCTATTATTAACTGATCATCCAAGATAATTTGGGATCATCCCGAACGATTTGATCAAAATAAAAAAACTCTAATAATATGAATTTTTCCTCTAAGTGTGCATCTGTGTGAAAGGTTTACTTAGCATCAAGATCCACTTGTTACAATTGACTCAAGAAAAGGAAAATACCTATAAGTACATTTTAAGCTATAAGTCCTAATCTACCTAAATCTTGAGCTGACTTGATTTGTAGTTTTGATTTTTGGATCTGAAACGTATAGATAGACAGTCATTAAGAAAAACAAAATATCAGAAATGTGTTATCATCAAAATTATAATTCATGAATATAAATTTGCAATAATGCCATGATGTTGACATGAATGACTTTTGTAGATTTAGAGCAAAATTACCCCCTAGTCAGGAACCCTTTTTCACAGGACGGCGTTAAACTGTTGTTGTCCGAATATCTTACAGAGATAGAGAAATACTAATTTAATGCTCTTAGTTTGTACGAATATCAAACACTAAATCACATAAGAAAGAGGGTGCAATCTAAGTTTAGAAGAAAAGTTAATTTAAAAAAAAATAATATCGAGCCCACCATATTTATATACCTATGCTTAAAATTGCTGGGGGAGCTTGACACCCTTATGTTGTCATTATAATTCTTTGTTAAATTGTTAGACTAAGACATAACATATTGTCGCAATGCTTGTTTGCGTCAGGAGTATTCGCGGCGGTTAGAGAAATTATTATTTACGTCTTTAGCATTGTACAAGATCGGCAGCAGAGATATGGGAGAGAGGGTCTAGCATTTATAGACACAAGATTTTTTACGTGGAAACCCTGTAAAAAGGGTGGAAAAACCACGGGCCTAGCCCAGTTTGAACGAATCCACTAGTATTGCCAGTCGATTACAATGAGACCCTTCTTGGGAGAAGGCCTTTAGCTTGATGTACATCTGATGGAGTACATTACATGATGTAAATACAAGATTACTATCGAGGTAGTTCGTTTGTGTAGAAGGAACTGCAGTTTGGCGTGCGACGTAGGTCAGGAGGACCGTAGTCAGCTGACGACGGAGGATTGTTAGTCGGCGGGCGACGTAGCAGAGCGAGATGTAGTCGGCGGGCGACGGAGGTCGGAGGAGTATTCCTGTGAGCGACATAGTCAGGAGGACCGTATTCAACGGGCACGGATGTCAAAAAGACTGTAGTCGAGCGGGCGACGTTAAGTCAGGAGGACCGTAGTCGGCTGGCGACGTGAGGTCGAAGGACTGTAGCTCTGACGAACGAAGAATCATAGGACAGCATCAGGTTAGAGTCCAGCAATGAAAAGAATGCACTTCGCATAGACGTCCAGCGGAGTCCGATAACCGGTAGAAGTCCGGCGTCGGGTAGAAGCTTGGCGAAGAGTGAAGGTCGACGTCGGTAGAAGTCCGCGCGTCTGTTGGTGGCAGAGAACTCTGGCTTCACTTGGCGGGAGTTCGGCGTCGATGAGGAATTCTTCTTGGTAAATTGGGAAGAATTTCAGCATCCATGGAAGTTGGGCAGATTCTGGCGTTCTCTGAAAATCCGGCAGAGTTCGTGTTTTCAGGCGCAGAAGAGCTCCGGCAGGTGTCGAGGAGGTGAGGATCCTTTTCCCCTTCTCTCTCCTTCTTCTCTCTCTTCACTTGAGCCCCCTGTATGTTGTAGAATGAGGGTCTATTTATAGGTTTTTCTGGAGTGCGATAGCCGTAAATTAGTGTGAGACAAGGTGGCGAATTGTGAGTGGTTTTGGATGGACGCCGATATCGAATCCTTTGATCATGCACCGTTCGTGGTCATTTGAAGGCCTTAATGATGTCGGAATTCAATGATCTTGGGGCTCGTTCGGATGCGTCTCGTCGAGCCGTTCGATTCGAGTATAAGCTCGTCAAAATCGGAGGACCTTTGGTACTAAATTGCGGTTTTGAACTTTCCAACAGCGCTTTGAACCCTTGATTCTGGATCATTTGGGCTCGGTTGGGTTGTCTGGAATCGTTGGGTTCGTATTTTCGAGACGCTCAGTTGACTATAAGCTCGCTGAATCGGAGTTCATATGCTCCCAAAATTAATTTTTTGGAAGTTTCCCGAACTGATTTGCCTCGAGATTCGTGCCCATCAGATAATTTTGTGATGACGTATCAGTTAGCCCCCCTATTTTCGACGTCGAAGCACCAGGAGTCCGAAAATACATGGGTCGACAATTTGTATTGGTCTAACACCAAAAATACTTTCAAAATTAAACATCTTGTTCGAACCTTCCCATAAAAGGCCTCGTTGAGTGGAAAGTGTCATAACGAGTCGGAACGTGCGGGAAAAACTGTCCGGGACCCGAAAACGTCAAATTTGGGCTTTTTCGGGGACGAAATTCGGGCCCGGAATGGACCGGCAGCCGAACCGCCGAACCGGCCGGTCGGCCGCCGCCGCCGCCGCCGCCTCCGCGCGGAACGCCGCCGCTGCTCCCACGCGTCGCCTGGGGCTGGACCGCGCCCGCGCCTGGGCTGTGTGCGCCTGCGGCTGCGTGGCTGCGCCGGCCGGGCCGGCCTGTGTGCTGGGCCAGCTCCGCTGCTGTGCTGCCACCGGCTGGCCGGCCGGCCGTCCTTCTGTGGGCTCGTGCGCTGCTGTGCTGCCAGCGCAGCGATCCGCGTGAAGAGTCCGCGAATCGAAATTTTTTTTTTGAGTCAATTCGCTGCCACCGACTTAGGTGGGGCCCGCTCGTGTAAAGAGGCCGTTTTTTATCTTTTTTGGGTCCAAAAAATCAGAAAAATTCAAAAAAAAAATTAGAAAAAATAGGTATTTCGAAAATGGCAATAACTCCCTCCCATTTTCTTCAAAACCTATAAATAGGCCCCTTAGGCCTTAAGAAAAATTGCTCCTCTCCTCTTCTTCTCCTCTTTTTCTTCTCTTCTTCTCTTCTTCTTCTCCTTTCTTCTTTTCTTCTTCTCCTCTCCCTCTGTTCTTGCTATTGAGGCTTTCCCTCGATTTTTCGAGGCCCTTCTCTTGGCGAGGAACTCCGGAGATTCCCCCTTCTTCTCTTCTCCCTCTGTCCTTGCTATTGAGGCATTCCCTTGATTTTTCGAGGGGCCTCTCTTGGCGAGGAAGTCTGGAGATTTCCTTTTTTTCTCTTCTCATCTCCCTCTGTCCTTGCTATTGAGGATTTCCCTCGATTTTTCGAGGCCCCTCTCTTGGCGAGGAAGTCCGGAGATTTCCCCTTCTTCTCTTCTCCTCTCCCTCTGTCCTTGCTATTGAGGCATTCCCTTGATTTTTTGAGGCCCCTCTCTTCTTTGAGAGATCCTACAGAGGTCTGATGTTAATCAGTTGGTTGGAGATGGAGGTCAGAGAGACCGTTGTAAGGAGGGAGGTTGAAATGATAGGTATACTTCCAGTGTCGGGGAGAAGTATGATGACAGGTAGGAATTCAACGTCGGGTAGTCATACAGCATCGGGAAGAAGACTGATGAAAGTCTATTAACTGGTAGACGTCCGACATCCAGTAGAAGTACGAAGTCGGGAAGAGGTGCAGCATCGGGTAGATGACCGACAAAGGTTTGTCGACGGGCAGAAGTCCAACGACGAGTTGAAGTTCGCTAACGAGCAGAAGTCTGACGACAGGGAGAAGTCCGACGTCGTGTAGAAGTACGGCCTGGGGCAGAAGATCGATGAAAGTTCGTCGACGGGCAGAAGTCCGACGACGAGTAGAAGTCCGCTGACGAGCAGAAGTCTAACGACAAGGAGGAGTCCGACGTCGTGTAGAAGTACGGCCTGGGGCAGAAGACCGATGAAAGTTCATCGATGGGCAGAAGTCCGACGATGAGTAGAAGTCTGCTGACGAGCAGAAGTTTGACTACAAGGAGAAGTCCGACGTCGTGTAGAAGTACGGCCTCGAGCAGAAGACCGATGAATGTTCGTCGACGAGGAGAAGTTTGATGACAAGTAGAAGTCTGCTAACGAGCAGAAGTCTGACATCGAGTAGAAGTCCGCTGACAAGCAGAAGTCAGACGACATGCAGAAGTGCGACGTCAGGTAGAAGTACGACCTCTGGCAGAAGACCGATGAAAGTCCATTGACAGACAGAAGTCCGACGAAGGGTATTAGTCAAACGACAGGAAGAATTCTAGCTTCGGGTATTAGTCCGTCGAAAGTCCTGCAAGGCAAAAGTTCAGCTACAAGAGGAAATTTAAAATCGTGTAGAAATTTAACTTTGTGCAGAAGTCCATTGACGACATTCTGATGACGTTAACCAAGGATGTATAATCTATCCGAGGTTGTTTGTCAGAGCCTTTACTCGATGATGTTAACCGATATTGGATCCGGCAATGATGTAGGACCTGTCCGAGGTTGTATGTCGGAGACTTTGCTCGACGACGTTAACCTGTGTGGAAGAGGTCGGGAGAATCCACCAAGGATGTAGGACCTTTCCGAGGTTGTATGTCGGAGCCTTTGCTCGATGACGTTAACCTGTGTGGAAGAGGTCGGGAGAATCCACCAAGGATGTGAGACCCCTTGATTGGGAGAGGGCGAATGCCGCGTGTATCCCGAAT